CCCAGCCAAGCCCTCCAAAAAGACACAGGGTAGGGTACAAGTCCAAGGGTAAAGACTAGACCTGGACTATACTCTAGATCAGCTAGATCAGCCCAATGAGGAGAAGCTAGAACAGGGGGCTAGAGTAAGACACTGACCACCTCTCCCTGTCCTCTTGCCTCTCCCACTTTGAGAAAGCTTGGGCACCCAAGGGGAGAATTCCATCATCAATCACAGCTGACCTGGGCATGGCACCACCATCTTCCTGGGCCTGAGTCAAAGACTGCTACTGTCTGCCTTATCCTCCTCCCAGAGAGCAGCAAAGCCCGGTGAGAAATGAACGGTGAAGGTGCTTGGAAAGTGAAAGTGTTCACTTGTGAGGAAATAGTCGTATTTTTAAATTCCTAAATTAACTCAGGTCTAAGCCGCTGCAGAGGTGGCCCTGGCTCTAGATGCAAACTCTGCCCATCCTCCCATGTGCATTAACTAAGAATAGCACAAGCAGAGCAGAGGTACAGAAAAAGGATGTCCTGGCCAAGCCGTCAGGCCACCAACCATAACGCAAGGTCCCTCTGAGGTGTGACGGTAGAAGGGGCCTGCTTCTTTCTTCTTGGAAGATAGGTAGCTGTACAGAGCTGCCACTGTCTGAGGAGAAAGGCAAGTAGAAGAGAGGGCATTCACTCATCTCAGATGTCCTGCAACACCAGATAATGAGCTATTTCACCTACAGGAACTCGGAGGTCACTCAGAACTCTGTTTAAGCACTAAGACTTTAATGAACATGCTTTAAGTGATTTGGGATGGAAATAATTCTAAAGTGGATAAGATGCCTCCTTGCCTTCTTAACGTCAGCGTACTGTTTTGTGTGTGGCTGCGGATGTCAAAGGCTGGAGTAAGTTGAAATCCTCTGTTGACCTGGAACGTGTTACAGTAGCCCTGCCCCGCCTCTCAGTGGACTCCCATCCCAGGACAGTTGCTGACATCTGTGGATTTGGTCTTTGTAATACATTCACTTTTAGACTGTTAGCTGCCACTTCTTGCTGTATCTACCACCTTTCATCGCTCTCTTCATTTGCTTCATTATTAAGACACCAAGTCTAAGTTCACTAGAATTTAATTTAAAATTAAAGTAAAAGGCAAGAGAGATTTGTTGTTCAAAAATTGTTTGGCCATTGATACACAGAGTCACAGTATCTATATCTGAGGATCAAAACTCACTTTCCTTCCTCTGAGTCTTCAGCTACCTGGGGGCTGAGGGAACTTGCTGGTAAGCAGACCTAGAGAGTGAAGTGTGCTTTCTTCTTGTTTTAGTGCAATGGTAACCATTTTCTCTTTTAACAAGTTTTTCAAGATCTTCGGGGTTCTTGTGAAGTTGGTGGATTTAATGCTGCATTCTGAGCTGTCACAGGGTTGAAGCTCCCCCTGCCAGGGACATCTTCAGAGCAAAGACTTTGCCTCTGGTTGGAGAGAGATGACATGTAAGCAGAAATCCAGTACTAACTACTATTTCAAGTTAAGTTTTTCCAAACGTAGGTAGAAGCGAGGAGCATAGTGAAGTAGGGCCCAGCAGCCTTGGCCACTGTAGTATGTTCCTTCATTGTCACCTTCCAGGTGTGCTTGGTTGTTTTCTTTTTTGGGTTTTTTGTTTTGTTTTGTTTTGTTTGTTTGTTTTGAGACAGGGTCTCACTACATAGTTGAGACTGCCCTGGAACTCACTATGTAGCCCATATGTAGGGTCTCACTATGCAGTCTCAAACTCATCGAGGTCCTCCTGCCTCAGCCTACCAAGTGCCACCACTCCCAGCTTCCAGATGTACTTTGAACAGGTTTTCTGGGAGTGTTTCACCTCCAGCCAGGTGGGCAGGTAGATCTTCCCTATGCTAGAGTGTGCCAGGGAGGACTTGGATCCTACCCCAGCACTAGAAACAAGTGACCCTCACCTGGGTTCCAAGCTTGAGTCACCCACCTCTTAGTTCTGATCACAAAGTGCACCCTAATTCTAGGCACAGCTGGGTACAAAATTTTGGCACACTCTATTTCCTAACCTTGAGAGAAAAACTTTGCTGTAGAAATATTTTGTCATGCTTATTTAAACATTTAAACTGTTCAGAAGAAGGAAGGCCCAAATCAGATTTGGGGAAGGTGCCCCCAACCAAGAGAGGTAATGCAGCAGAACAGGCACAGTGCAGTTAAGAGATCATCAGGGTAGTCATCTCACAGTGCGGTGCCTGGGCCAATAAATAGCACCAGGTCATGGGACCTTGCTAGACAGGCTCCACACCAGCCTTCTTAACCCAGAAACTCCAACTGGGCCCACAACTGATGAACACAGATTCTTGTACATCAGAGCTAAAAGGATCATTTAGTTGAAGGAATTGACTGACTTCATTACCAAGGGGACCATCTTCGGACTCGAAGGAGACAGATTTCTGGCTTTTGTGGGAAAAAGCTAAGGCTCAGTAGGGTGTGTTTTTCTCCCCTATTCTTTGAATGAAAACTTTTAAAACTCACCAATAGAAATTATGCAAGAAAAAAATATCTAAAGACATAACAGTTTGGCAAGACCGTTGTCACTGAGGACATAAGCCAGCCAGGACAGCTGAGTCCTCCGGCAAAGCAAGACTATATCTGCACTTGGCTTTGGCAAACTGAGGGCCCAGGACAACTGCTCAAAATAAGACAAAATCAGAATTCTGCTAGAGGAGCACAGAAAAATATGTTATTTGAGAGCAGCTTGGACCTTACTGATTCTTTACATTTAGAAAGTGTACTATATTAAGTGAAATGAGCCTGCCAAAAGAAAAAAATGACAAGTATTGCATGATTCCACTTACACAAGGGGCCCACAGCAGAGAAAATCACAGAGACAGAAGGGTAGTTGCCAGGTTGAGGAAGGAGAGGAAATGTGTCACTGTTTAATGGGGTCAATTTTTTTAATTTTGCAAAATGAGAAGATTTCTAGAGATTCGTTGCAAAGCAAAGTGAATGTCCTTAACACTACTAAACTTCACACTTAAAAATGTATAAGCTGGTAAATTTCATCTTATGTAGATTTTAACACAATTAATAATTTTTAAGAGAGAAATCTTTGTTAGTAGTGGCGAAGCAAAACAGAATTAGTAAATGTTATAGATTGCTCAAGATTTGATTTTTGTTGCTAGGTTTACAGTAGGTACTATTTTATATTTATATAAAACACAGAAGTTGCATTTTGTGCCAAAACTCTTATTTTCATTCTTTTCCCACTCAAGACTCCAGTTTGGAATTCAAGCCAGATGCAGCCGCTGACCCACAAACAGGTGTTCGTGCAAGGCCTAGGCAGGGATGTCGATCTGGATTCTGAGTCCATTGCTTTAACAAACACCCAGAGGGCTCTAATGCAGGCAACCTATGGTCTACCTGTGAGGAACACACTGCCTTAATTAGGACAGTCTCTTGCAGACTACTCAGCCTCCACAGGCTGGCCTCGTTTGAGTAGACGTCCCAAGAAGAGCAGAGGGCCCATCCTGCTAACCCTACAACCTTAGCCTGGCCTCACTTGACCCATGAGCCACAACCAGTCTCTTCCTAGAGGAATATTCTGGTTGAGGAGGGTGTGCTGAGCTCAAAGTAAGACCACCACCCATTTCCCCGAAGGGATCAACTCCACTGGGTGTTTGCAACAGACATTCAGCAAAGTCCAGCTCATCTGTTTCTTACCCCTCAAAAAAGCATTCTCCTCTAGTTTTTCAGACACAATTGATAAATGCTTTGTATACAGCAACCCACCTCATACCTCAGCTGCGGTAATGTAAGATCCTGACATATCTGTAAAGTTTGGAAGATGGGGAGAAAGGGAAAGGAAGAAAACCAGAAAATGTCCCTTCTTTTGTTTGAGTTAGAGAAAGAGGACTACTTAGCAGAGGCAGATGAATAAGATTATGGGGAGGACTAATAAAAGGAGAGCTGGATTGGGTAAGGCTCCACTACACAGACGGTTCAGCCCCTGGGCCCGAAGCTTGCCAAGGACAAACAAAGGGAGTCCCTGCCTTCTTAGAATGTACTAGGTCAAAGGAAAAGAAAAGACAAGACAAGAAACTCAGCTATCCTCAGTTGGCAATTTCCCCACAGTGTTTCTTAGTTTATTAGTGGAGTCTCCCAAACTGCTGGAGCCCACTAGGAACCAGACACCTCATTACTGGATTAAATGTGTGGCCCTGTGCCAATGCTGAGGACACAAAGAAGAGCTAGATATCAGGTCTTCCCAAGGGGAAAAGGCAGATCCTCTACCAAGGACACAGGGATGCTTATGACACTTATGCTGTGTACTCAGAGGGTGTCACAGAAGAAGCACAGAGAAAAGAGTGTCCAGCCTGGTCCAGATAGGGGAGATGGCAAAGGTCACAACCATACATCATCTGTAAAAGTGGCCAGACAAGAGGAGTGGCAGAGGAGGAAGGGTGTAGAGCCTTCCACTGAAGGACAGAGCCTGGAGGGGTGTGGGAGGGGGGGGGCAGGAGGGTCTCAGAGAAAAAGGAGCCAGCTTGGGAAATAGTTTGCAGGACTTGGTAAAAAACAACAACAACAACAACAAACAAACAAACAAACCTGGGTGTCACGTACAGGCAGGAATTGGCCCCAGGAAACATTTCAGATGGGAACTCTGAAAGCAGAAAGGTCAGTCAGAAGGGCCTGCATTAGTGCAATGACAGAGGGGCTGCAAGGAGAGAGTGAACTCAAGAGATGTTTATGATTAGACTTGACAAAATTTGTTGAGCAAATAAACCTAGAGGGTGAAAAGGGAAGAGGTTGGCCAGAGCAGAGGGGACATGTGCTAAGTGCCCAGCTAGAACTGGAGCTGTGCTGGACAGTGTACAACACTATTTCATTTTTCTTTTCTCTCTCTCTCTCTCTCTCTCTCTCTCTCTCTCTCGTATTGGGGATTGAACCCAGTACCTTTGCACTGAACTACATCCCCAGCCCTTTTTTTTACATTTGGAAACAGGGTCTCACTAAATTGCATCACTTGGGCTTGAACTTGCACTCCTCCTGTGTCAGCCTCCCAGAGTGCTGCCGTGAGAGGTTTAAACCACCATGCCCAGCTTTGCAACACTATTTCATTCAACCTTCACAATAGCTGATGCAGCTGGAGTCTTGTCCTCATTTCTGAGATAATGAATCAGAGCCTCCAGGGGCTTTGGGAGCTTCCCAAGGTCGCACAGCTGCTAAGCAATGGGAGGAAGTGCCGAATCCAGGTTTTTCTTTTAACTGCAACAGTTGAGGGTAGGTTGAGGTTTGAGCTTTGGAGCAGAAGCTCACGAGGTACCAGTGGTCACACCCCAGATGCTCCTGGGGCCTGGCCTGCAGGGGAAGGGGGCTAAGATGACAGGGCAGGGGATGCTGGGAGCAGTGAGCAAATGGGCATTTTCTGCAGGAGGCTCTCAGCAAGAGAAGAGAACCCTGAGGAAGCTTCATAGAAGAGTCACAAGGGAGCCCGAGGAGAAGCGTTCAGAGAGGCAGGGAAAGAATAGATTGGTGCACACAGGAGAGACAACTTCAAAAAGACCGGAGAGGCCACCACTGTCTGATGCTGCACAGCTGTCAAGAGTGAGACCTGAGAATTCACCCCTGCCTTGGCCGACAATCTTTACTCTGCCAATTTAGGATTCAGAACTGACTCTGCCTCCCCTTCCTCGCCTCCCAGGTAACTGTCGCCAGTCAGGGACTTCACAGCACTCTGCACTGAGTGCTCCAATGTGTGTTTGTGGGATGCTTCATTTACCAGTCACACCCACACACACCAGACTAAGACCCTGGAGGGCTGGGAATAGATCACCACTTGTTCCCTGGCCCCTAGCACAATGTGTGGCACAAAATGAGCACTCAGCAGACACTTGGCAAATGACTGGTGGGAGCCAGCACTCTGCTCTCCCTTTGTTGTCAGAAAGTACTGCCCCTGGCTCCTCCTCATACTCAGCAAAGTCCAAGGCCAGGATCCAGTTATCTGCAGCATCGGGTGATTAGTGACAGAGTTGCCATCACAGCATTGCTGAACTGGTCCCAGAGGTCTGTCTGACCTTGAGTCACATTCTTTCCTGTTTGGTTAAGCATTGAATCATCCATAGTGTTTTGCTGCTTTTCAAGCCTGGAGCAGTGGGGTTAGCACAAAGAAAGACATGAGAGCTGTTTGGTTCATGGGGAATTGATTTCTTCTGAATAAAAATGTAACTGGCAGTCCATACCTCACAGAGAGACAATGACAGGACTGTCAGTGCAGAGTAACATGGCAGAGGACTTCCAGAATCAATGCCCAGATCTCTCTGAGCCTTTCAAAAGATATTTTCTCCTACAATCATCGGCTGTAGGAGAAAGGATGTGGCCTGAAAGTCTGGCAACTGCATGAGTCCCAGTTGAGCTTCTAGCTGGCCGTGTGGCCCTGGGCACACTCATGTTGCCATATACCCTTTCTGGGCATCTCTTCTCACCCAAATCATGTGAAGTTGGCCTCAGTTCCCCTCCAGGGCTCTTGTAAGTGGCCAGTACTGCTGCAGGGAGCAGAACTTGGAGAGGCACCAAGAGCAGACGCTACCTTCTGCATCCAGGACAGCTCCCCAGAGCACCTGTTTCTAGGGCAGGACCTAGTACCACCCTGTAGAGGCATCCTATTGGGTTCCCTCTTGTTCTAGCCATGGCAATACCAGCTGGGAAGCTGAGACTGATGTTCGAAGGTCACGTTTAGGGGGTTCTACAGACCTGAGTGCAGTGCTTTCCCTTGGGTGCCTGACCATGGACAAGTCCCTGAGTTGCCCTGGGCTTGACCTCCTCACCTAATCATGGAGCCTCCTTACCTGAGGGGTCTTGTGAGGATGGATGATGATGCAGGGAAAGGGCTCAGTGTAGGAAAGGGCTCATGCTGGGCACAGAATGTGTGGTCAATCTTAGCTCTTATGAGAATAAATAGTTATGGCTTTCATCCATACATCATAACCATTTTTAAAAATAAGAACTATAGAGACTCTAGAGAGCTAAGCCTCTCATTGTAGAGATGAGGAAATGGAGGCCCTGAGAGAGAGAAGGAACTTGCTCTAAATCCACAAGCATAATTATGGCCATGAGTGAGGTATCCCACTCCCACCTGAGATGGATCGCAGTCCTCCTAAAGGGGCCCTGGCAGGAACAGATTCCACCCCATACCTTCAGCTATGGAGATCCTAATGTCTGAATCACAAAGGCTCTGGCCCCAACACTGCCCACCCAAACCACACCTGTCCCCAGAGGGCCTCTGATGGAGGGTCTGTCACTCTCAGTAGAGTCCAGGGCATGACTTGACCAGGTCCCTTCCCTGATCCAGCCTGTTTCCATAAGTGGGACAGATGGTGTTTAAGATCCTTCCAGTTCTGACATTTCACAGTTTCAAGAACTGGGTTCAACTAACTGAACAGTGGCTAGAAATCTCAGCTAACTGGAATCTTCCCCAGAAGTTCCTTTCTTGGGAGAAGTAGGCAGAGCCCAAGAAAGCCGTCGTCATCCACTGTCCTGTAAAGTTAATGCCAGCTTCCCAGCTGTTTGGGCCTCTGTCTCCTGACTGCCCCTATTTTTATAGACCAGCAGACAGGCTCAGGGAAGCCTGGGGCTCACAGCCCAGATCCGACCTCAAAACACTGGTAAAAATCAGCATCCAGCACAGCCCAAGCATCAGCACCACACACTTGCAACAGAGCCCAGAGAAGGAGGCCTGGCAGAGAAAGGGGTCTGAGGAGCCAGGAGGGCTGCCCAGTACTCTCCTCTGTCTCTCCCCGAAGGGCCTGTGGCTTTGCCTGTAAAACAAGGTGGTAAGGTGGAAGGTGCCCGGCTCCCCACAACACAATCAGGAGCTGCTGGCGCAGCACACAACCTGCAGGATGTGTACCATCTGCCTCCACCCCTAGAAGACAGAGCTAACGTCCTTCTCACTATGTCTTTCAAACCCAACCATGCACCAGAGAAGAGCAGACTTTCCAGAAATGTTTAAGGGAGGGAGGAAAGAAAGGAGGGAGGGAAGAAGGGAGAGAGGAAGAAAGGAAAGAAGGGAGGGAGGGGGGAGGGAGAGAGAGCTGAAGTCTTCCAAGCACTAACACTCTACAGTTCCACAAAGCTAAGTTCAAAGACAATTCACCAACAGGGTCTACGGGGCACAGTCACACTCAGGGTGGAATCACAGCAGGGGAAGCAAAGGAAAAGAATTTCATATGTGACTGATGTGTGGCTACTCAGCACAGGCACAGATGACTTCCCAAACCCTGGCCCCGGAAGTCCCCGGGTGTGATGATGCTCGGCGTGCACTGTGGGGTCCCGCCTTGCCAGGAGAAGCCTCAAGGGTGCTGGTGTCAGAGGCCCCACTGGCTTCCATCCTCGGAGCCCATATATGACAGGCGGCACTTTCCGGCAGACGGTTCCCATTCAGGAGCATGATACAGCAGGATTCTGCAGTACTCAGGAACATAGAGAGGAGCGGTGCTTTATAAATAACTTCTGGTTAGAAATGGAGCTGAAAATAGAGAGACAGAAGAGGAAGCAAACTGCTAAGCACTTATTGAGTCGATAATATTGGCTTGGAACCCAAAGTGTAAATGGCTGGGCTGGTTTCTTTCCTTCTCTTCATAAGATCAAAGACAAGATGAAACCCAGAGGCACCAAGACTGTGTCTGTGTTTCCCAGGAAAGGTTTATACGGATGTGGCTCTCAGCTGCTGGCATTTTGGGGAAGATGCTAACACTGGCCTTGGTTAGATGTCACCAAGGCACCTGATGGGCACAGCGGGGTGGTGTGATGGGGCTGCCCAGCTCTGGGTGCTCTGAACCACTCTCTTCACTGGAAGGTCTGGCCGCTGGGTTGGCCTCTATGCTCTGAGATTCTGGATAGAAACTGATGGCTCACTCCTCATTATAAAACTCAGGAACCAGAGGTCTGAATGAAATCTTAACTGTGCTCAAGTGTCCTGTCTCCTCCCTCTAGACCATCCTTCCTGCCTTTGGCTGCTACAAGGCCACAGCAGTTTGTGCTCTCTGGGAAACTGAAATCGAGTGGAAATGTGCTTTATTCACTTGCAATCCCCAGGATCCCTGGTTCTGGGGCATGGCCCAGCAGCATGCTCCCCGTGGACAGGTGGAGGCAGAGATGGGAAGCCCAAATCCCTGCCTCCCTGCCCCAGCGCCCAAGCGCGGACTGAACTACTGAGGGAACAGCCAGGCCCCACCTAGCGGCTCCCAGTTCCAGAGGGAGGGAGAGGAGGAGGAGGAGGAGAAGAGGTTCGTCTGGGCAGCCCAGACCCCCAGCCTCAACAGCAGCTGCAGGGACCCGTGTGTACTCGGAGGATGCCGCGGCTGTGCAGGTGAAGGAAATTGAAGATCTCTGAAGGCATGGCGTGGAAGCCGGGCCGGGGCTTGACGTTGTCATAGTAGTGGTGGGTGATGTAGAGGCCGGAGGGGTTCATGGGGAAGGCCCAGAAGCCAAACAGGTGCACCTCCTCGCAGAGCTCCAGCGCCGCGGTGACCAAGATGAGGCCGGTGCTGATGCGCTTGGCGCGCACTCCCAGGCTGAGCCAGTAGCGCGACACGTTGACCAGGTACTGCGGGTGGAAGTAGTAGACGGCCTGCGGCGACTCGAAGTCGTCCAGCGCGTACTTGACGCGGATGGACACGTCGGTGTTGCGCGTGTTGTAGAAGGCGGGCAGCAGCACCGACGCATTCTCGTACACCTGCAGCACGCGGTAGAACGGCCGCCGCCACTTCTCCAGCTTGTGGAACCTGCGCAGGGCCAAGAGTGAAAAGGAGCTGCAAGGTCCTCGCCCTGCACTCATGGGGAGGGGCCTCAAGGTCACGTGTGCCACTTTTCTCAGGCACCTCAGCAGATGAAGAGTGGTCTTTTTGGAGGACAGTTCCGTTTTTGCAAGGATGGGAGGGGTGAGGGCAGGGGGAAGTAGTTGAGAAGTGCAGGCTTTCCTAGGGCACCAACATCTCTCCCTAGCACTGTCTTCCCCAAGGGCCTCTGTGATGCGCTCAAATGTAACTGCCTGTCCTGCCTCAGCCCTGCCTCCCAGCTCCCTGTTCTCAGCCTGTTGATCTGGTGCCACACCTTCTCCAGCACGGAGAACTGCTCCCTCTCCTTCATCCCCTCCCGACACTCCTCTACACTGCACAGTGCTGGCTCTCTTGGGATCCGATGCAGTTTAACAATTTCCCGCCCACCCCTTCCCTCCCTTTCTCTCTCTTTCCCCCTCCCCCCTCTCCTCCTTTCTCTCCCTTCCTCCCATGCAGACCCCTGGAGGGGAGCAAGAGCTTTGCATGGAGCTTTTCCTGTGCCACCTGGATGCACCAGGGAGGACACTGCCTGCCCTGGTCACACCCTGGAGTTAGGACCCATCCCTAAGTGACGGCGGTCTAAACCAACACTGTCCAAAAGAAATAGAATGTAAGCCCCAGTGTAATGCTGAGTGTTCTAGCAAACACATTTAGGAAGTGGAGGAAATTTTATATTTTATTTAATCCAATATGTTAAGAATACTATCATTTCAACATTAATACAAAAAATATTTGAAAACCAATGTTATATTCCTTTGTTTGTATTAAGTTTTGGAAACCTAGCATGTGTTTATGCTGACAGCTGGCACATCTCAGCCTGGGACAAGCCCCATTCCCAGTGCCCGTGGCTGCATGTGACTGTGGGCCACACAGGACCGGACAGCTCCAGAAAGAGGGCCACTGACCTCTCTGTGATGATGCTGGGGTTCACAGTGACAACATCTGTCTTCACCCCCACATCCATGGTGTATTTTTCAGAGATAGGGGGCAGGTTGCACCTGCAGAGGAGACACGGGTAGAGTCATTCTGCAGGAGGCCAAGGAGGGGCAAGGGGAACAGAGGGGTGGCGATCATACAAACAGAGGGATGCAGAGGCTGCCAGCTCAGCGGGACTTCTGTGGCCAGGCATCAAGATAGTGTTCCTTCTGCTATACATCAGGCATGGGGACAGCAAGCAGACTTGGGCCCTGATCTTTCTAGAGTTTCAGGCATGGGGCAGAGAAACAACCTTCTGAAACGTGTTACATGCTGCTGCAGTGCTGAGCCTCTGGCATACAGGGTCAGGGCCCTGAGTGGACAGAGGAGCAGCCCCTTAGCTGGTGGCCTGAGAAGACTTCTCTGAGGAAGCAACACTTAAACCAAGGTCAGAAGGAAGCACACTAACAAGAGATGGACCGACTAAATGATAGATGTATGTAGTGATGGATCTTAGAACTGCAGAACCCAGTGACAACAAGTTGCACAGAGTTCACAAGGAGAGCAGCTGGTAGAAAACCCCTGTGGTAGGGAGAGTCATGGCCCCCAACAATGTTCCTTGCACCTGTGAACACGGGCCTTACACAACAAGGCAGAAGAGACACTGCAGCTTCAACTATGGGAAAGATCTTGAGGAGCTTATCCAGGACTATCCAGGTGGGGTCAATGTCATCACAAGGGTCTTTGGAAGAGAAAGTGATGTGACAGTGAAGGAGAGAGAAGAAAATGTGACAGCAGAATCAGAACCAGACTGGAAAAGTCTGCTTTGCTGGGATTGAAGGGGCCCCAGCTGAGGAGTGCAGGCAGCATCTAGGGGCTGGACAAGGAAAGAGATTCTTCCTAGATTCCCCAGGAGGATTGTAGCCCTGCCACCACCTTGACTGTAGCCTGAGACTTCTGACCTCCATCCAGGGCTGTAAGGTGATAAAACTCGTGTTGTCTCAAGCCACTGATTTTGTGGTAATTTATTATAGCAGCAGTAGGAAGCAAACTCCAAATAAGCAAAATTTAGCAATAAAGTATTCAGGGATACATCAACATGTAATAACAGTTTTTAACAATGAGGGAGTATTAAGTACAAAATTCAGGGTAATTATTACTTTTTGGTGAAACAGGCAAAATGAAGGAGCACATCCATTGATACAATGGCTCCATACAAACATTCTGCTTCTTAAATGAAGTGGTTGGTTTACAGATATTTGTTTTATTGAGCATATATATTTTTATATATGACATACATATATATACATACATATTTTGCTATATATATGATACAGATATTCTCATCAAATGCTACATAACGAGAGAACTGTGAAAAGTGGATGTTAACTGGGTGAATTTGGAGACCATGAACATTTCAACCAGAGATCTAATGCAAAAGCCCTAGGATAGAAGAGAAAAAGAGGCCTCCAGGAGTGACTGCCACACAGAGCAAGGGGAATGGTGGAAGCTGAGGCCAGAGAGGAAAGAAGGGGCTAGACTCCATCCAGGAGAAGCCATGGGCCTGTGGAATAATTATACAGAAGAGCCCTTTATAACAGGACAAGGACTATCACCTGTCTTATAATCCAACCATACCTCTTCTATCAGACCATGATGGAAAAAAAGCTGGTTTGTATTCTCCTTAAAGATGCACAGGTGTGCGTGTGTGTAGACAACTACCATTTATTGAGCACCTATGACATGCAAGGAACTATTGTAGGATCACACGAGACAGTGATAAACTCAGGGGTTATTGCAGATGCATAGCTGGGCATTGAGAGAAAGCACCTGCTGCTATGACATGGTTGAGGCAGAGTATGACACTCAAGCCTAGGACTCTTTCCCAATATCATACCATCCAGCAGGGGTATCACCTGGAGCATGGCAGAGACTCCTGTCTCCTGAGTGTACACAGCAGTACTCAGTAATACTTTGCCACTGCAGCACTGCCAGGGCAAAGATAATGGCAGTGAAAGGACCCACAGTGTTTCCAAAAATACCCCAAATATCTACATGCCACAACAGGTCCAAGACAGCGGGACAGAGGGCACCTTTGGGGAAAGTTTCCTCTTCCATTCTCAAGCTGAAGGCCTGTTGTGGAATAGCAGGTAGACGGCATGGCCAGAACCACATCTCTATCTATGACTGTGTCCGATCCATGTGATCCTCACATACAATGCCCCCCCCGAAGAATTGTTTTTATCTAAAAAATAGGATTAATATTAAAGGCAGTATTTTTCTACTATAGTACATGTTCTGCATTGCTTGAAAATCTTACTCTCAATGAGCATTAACTCATTTAATCCACACACATGCACACCCAATGTGGTCACCCTTACCAGCCATCTCAGAAAACAGAGGGAGAGTGGTCAGGTTATTCACAAGTGCAAGGTACCACAGTCCCTGATTCAAACCCAGACTGCTGACCTTGGAGCCTGTGGATATAATCACTCTGCCACCTTCCCAGGATGAAGTTCAGGAGGACCCCAGAGATCTGGGAAACTCCCTGAAGGACCATCTTTCAAGAGGAGGCCTCCGTTGCCTGCCTTGGCAGGGCTGGGTCAGGCTCAGCCCTGAAGTTGGGGAACACTGTGGTGTTGGAGGACTCAGCCTCCAGCTGGACTCTGGGTGTATACAGCTGACTGGAGACTGACAGGGAGGTGTCTCTAACACATGCCACCCACCCATCTATGGTGGTGATGCTACTTCTTCCTTCTGGGAACAGAAGGCTGGGTTTGCATGGTCAAGGAACCCATATAGTGGGAGCTGCCTTTATTTTAGGACCTCAAGTCACCCCAAACCTTCTCTACCTTTATTTCCCAACACTAATTTTGAGTAGCCTAACCATAGTGGATTCATGGCCCATGAGATCCCATTGCAGGCTCAGTCCAAGGATCTTTGCCTTGGGCTCTTATTTTCAGTGCATCATCCTTAACCAGGGTAAAGAGGAAGATGAGGATCCCTAGAGACACAGAGGAGGCTCTAAATAAGGAAAATGAAACACAAGGACCCATCTCCAGCATAGTTAAAGCAGAATGAAGCTAAAAGGCTGTTCTGTTCCCAGACGTGCTTGTGAGTGGGAGAGCCCAGCAGGGGAGGTGGCTGCCCCAAGGACCCCACTGTTAGATGTTGGCCCACATGGGGTCAGTGCTTTCAGGGCCCTTTGCTCTTTGCATGCCTCTGTTCTGCAGATGCAGAAAATGAGGACCTGAGAGTGCAGCAGCTTACTCAAAGGAGAGGAAGAGACATCCCTAAGTGTGAGGGTATACAGGGCAGGGAGTGAGCATTAAGACCCAAGGTGGGGCCCCATATGATGGAAGAAAACTAGGGCAGTTGGCAAGGGCAGGCTGGGTGGTTCTCCTACCGGAAAACGAAGTCAGCACTATTGATCTCCTGTCCGCAGCGACTGTTCTTGAGGATGCCTCCATTGCCCACCACTGCACACTTCTTAAACTGAGAGCGGTAGTAGGGCATGTCCTGGGGGATGGGAGAAGACAGGCACAGCTGTCAGAGCCAACACTAAGTCTTCCCTCAATGGGGCTCCCACCTCTGTAACCACATCCATCTCTGTGAGCTCTTGGCCCCAAGAGACAGCCTCAGAGGGAATGTGAGAGACAAGTGAGTGTCCACTTTACAGATGAGTAGAGCAGGCAAGACACTTGTTATTGTCAGTGGCTCCAAAGGTCCCTCCCATCTCTGCCACCCAGGGCCAACTGGGCAGCTTGCCTCCTAGCTAACAGCAGCTGGACAGCTCTTCAGGACAGGGGTTTGGCTAGTATCGTGGGCTTCTGGTGAGACCAGCTGCCAGGAAGAGCCTCATGGAGAATCAGGCTAACTCTGAAGGTGATGCTGCACCCATCTGTGGGAGACTATCCATAGTCATGGTCCCCTTTCCCAGGAGAGACAGGCTGGGGGCCCAGGACAGGGGAAGCACATGGACCTCACAGTCAGTGGCGGAATCTACATTGTTAGACTTTACCAGAGAAAGCAAAAAACCGAAAGTCATCTTTGAAAATACCATCCAAGACTTACTGTGTTTTATATGGGAGTTTCCCACATTTCTATAAATCTAGAGTTATCTGAAAATATCAATTTCTAGGCTCTAGTCAAGAACTATGTAATCAAAATCTCCAGGGTACAGATAGCAGGCTGACAAGCAGAATTTCCTGCAAACACAAATGAATACGTACCTGAAGGGCAGTTTGAGAAATGCCATCCTACGTCAAATGCTCTAATTTGGGGATCAGCAAATTATAGCCCAAGGGCCACATCTGGCCTTCCACCTGTTTTTTATATGACTCAAAGCTGAGAATGTATTTTACATATTTAAATGGTTGGAAACCATCTGTTATGGCTTATATCTAGCTGTTCCCCCTAAAGCCTCATGCCCTCACAGGTGGAGCTTTTGGGAGGTGACTGAATCATGGGTGTGACGCTGGACTAGTCCACAGATGGGTTTATAGCTGGCTGTGACGATGGGAAGTTAACCCTGGTAGGAAGAGGTGGGTCACACCGAGTGTGGCCCTAAAGGGTATGTTTATATTCCTTCTACTCTCTTGATCCCACTGCCGCTTCTTCCTGCCTGCCACTTCATGGACTGTTTCTCTTCTGCAAAGCCCATTTACCACGCTGCAAAATATGAACTAAAATGAACTGTTCCTCCTTTAACTTGTGGGTATTGGGTATTTTGTCCCAGCAACAAGAGAGTAACTAAGACACAATCTAAAGAAGAATATTCTGTAATATGTAAAGATTATATAAATTTCAAGTTTCTGTGTTATTGGAATGTGGCCGCCCTTGTTTTTTTTTACTGATGTCCATGGCTGCTGTCATGCTGGGACAGCAGAAGTGAATAGTTGTGACAATGATTATGACCCGCAAAGCTCATTTATTACTTGACATTAGTGGCCCTACTGGATTCCCCGGGCAGTCTGTGTACTGGCTCTCCTTGGACCCACAGGTCATGCCAGGCTGTTTCACATCAGGGTAACCTGCATGCTGCAAGTCTACCTGTCATCAGTCTCATGCTCCAGGACTTATGAGACCTACTTTGTAGAGGCAGCTCAATGCCATAATGCCATGACACCCTATGACACCCTTTACCTTCAGCTTCTCCCCTAAGCCATCAGAATGCCTGAGTCTTTACCAGTGCACTTTGGAACTAGTAACAGGAGAGAGGGGAGCATTTTTTTAGTGCCCCCCAGCACCCTCTGAAATACGGGGATACTCAAGGCCTCAGGTTTCTGTTTTACCTGCACACACCTCCATTTTGCATTTCTACCAACTGGGCCACAACACCTTGCCTTAGGCCTGGAGCTTTCCATACATGGTTATGAACACACCTCATGCCACCTGCCTCTGCACCCCTTCACAACTGCAGAATTGTCAGAACCAGTGGAAACGGCAGCTTCTGGGGCCCCTTAGCAGTGTAACAGGTCACAAACGTGGATCCTGCACTCTGCAGCCCTCAGGCAGGGAGCCACCATGCTTGCCCACTTCCTAACTTCCCCATGTGAAAGGCAAAAAGAAGTGTCTCTCTTCACTATGTCTCTTTTCAAATGATCTGTAATAAGCAGTTGAACCTCTGCCTGGTCCAAACCCCAGTGTTATAGACGGAGAGGCTGGAGCTCTGAAGGACAAAATGACCACCTGAGGTCATCTGAAAATCTTACTGTCTTGATTTGGATTGGGTTGCACTTTCTTGTGTGTCTGCTTTTATTCCTGTGCCTACCTCAGGTGGGGAACAGATGTCAACCTCACATCCAGCCCTCTGAACAATAACCTCTGCAAGCAGTGTTGTAGCCAGAATTTTAAATATTTTCTTGCCTAAGTCACACAAGGGTGGCCAGTAGGCATTGGTTGTGTCCAGATAGGAAGCCCAGTGGAAGATCTGCTGCACAAAGACAATTGGTCACCCAGGGCCAGGTCATCACAGTCAGAGTGTCACATGCAGAACCACAGGGGCACTGCCACAAAGGGCCACGGCAGGCCTGAACAGAGTTCACCTTGGGGAACATGCGGAAGATCTCCTGGTTGATGTGGTAGATGCCACTGGTGTCCACCTCATACTTGAGCTTCGTTCCCAGTGGTGTGTTCTTCTGGGTAGTGAAGAGGAAGGCAGGAGCGTTGCAGCACCGGGACAGAGTGGACCTGCCAGGCAGAGACATGGGTGATACTGGGCAGAGCAAAGCCTTACAAAGAATAAAAGGGCATAAGTTGGGATTCTTCCACTCTCAATTCCCATACTCATTCCCATTCCACGTCTTGCTTGTGCTGCCTCCCCCACTTTGCAGGCCTTCTGTGCCCAGGCCTTCTGCCTCTCCTGCTATGGCCCTTTCAGGGCCCAGGTCAGGTTCCTCCCATGAAGCCCTTGCTGTTCCTGTCCCCACTTACTGCATCTGTTTCTGGTACTGCAGCACAGACTGCGAGCCACATACTTCATTACCTGCTGTCTCCCTTCCAGACTTGAAGAAAAACCCCCATGGCAGGGACTGCACCTTGCCCAGTCCTGCATAGGACTAGTAACACATATGTTCGGTAACCAGGTGCCCTCTAATTGCAAGACTGACCAAGCCCCAGCAGAGCTTCACTCAGGGCCTGCCAGCATGCCCCTGCTTCCTGGAGACACATTCTTCCCACTTCATTCATCCAGCCTGAACTGAAAGCTCAGGGGAGCCTCAAACCCACAGTAGATGCTAGACCAGCTGCCGACCTCGTATGATTGGCTGAGAAAACCAAGACCCACACCATCAGCAGAAATGTGCAATAACAAGTATTCAGAAACCAATTTAGGAATAGGGGAGGGTCAGAAAACAGGCTAGTGGCTTGATACTGGCTGGCTTCCTGCAGAAAGTGGACACTGGTTCCAAGAGAAGTTTTTAGGAGTTTTGTAATTTAAAGAAATGAAAAGATCTCTGTGATTTTCATCTCAAAACTATTCAGTCTTGAGTTACTGAAGATTAAAGTTCTAATGTAAGGCTTTTTAAAAATTCCCATGGGAGAAGGGGCTTGGTGAAGCTCCCTGGGCACCTGCCAGCCAGAAAGCTTGGTTTTCTGTCTTCTCTGCAGCAGGTGCTCCACCTGGGAGAGCACCTTCCAGGGCCTGCCAGGGAGGCTCTGAGACAGGGCCAGGTCTGGGCACATTTTTCTCTCCCCTGCCCTGGAGGCCTAAAGCCTGGCCACAGAAAGTGCTGGACTTGACCAAGGATACAAATATCGCTTCTCTCATGTTGGGGGCTGAGCCCACAAGGGTGCACCTTCTCCAAAAGCAGCAGCAATGGGCTGAGCACTTTCTGAATGCCTCACCAACGCTGGCTCCAGGCCCAGGCACAGCTGTGACCAGGCAGCCCAGGGGAATGGAACACCTGCTCCATGAAGTCCTGCAGTGACCAGAAACGAAGGACGAGGAGGAGATTCTTGAAAACTCTCACCAAGGCCTGGGATGGAACCTGCGACAGGGTTAACAGCCTTGTGGCAAGAGGTCTGGATTCAAATTTCTGCTCTGTCCTCACCAGTCGTGGGGCTCGAGAAAAGAATCCCTTTCTGAAACTCAATCTTGTCTGCCCCTGGAAAGTTTGCTGGGCTCCCTCCCATTGAGGGAGACTGACTCTTACTAACCAAGCTTACAAGTAACCGATGTATAAACCGGAACACCCAAGTGTCAGTTTAGAGGCAGCTCAGTAAGGAAAGGCCCTGCTACAGGATTCTGTTCGTGCAGCTGAAATGCTCATGTCTCATTCTCGCACTGCACAGATCCTGCCAGCCTGAGTGAAGAATCTCATCATTGTTCCAGGACCTTGAAATGAGAGCAAAGGGAGACAACTGAGTGGCCTTGAAGGTTTTTCTATTTAGAGCACAACAAGGCCTGATGTCACCTCCCTTCCCCACACCTGAACCCACTTTGAATCCCTCAGCCCACATAGCATCAGGCTCTGGACTGTCTGATCCTTGCTACAAGCTCCCCCTTAAAAATGCCATCCTACCTCTAGATGTGGCCTGAAATTGTCACCAAAGGGGATAAATGATTTCTAAAGAAAATATAAGATCCTTGGTTACATTCACTTTTCACAGTCAATTGTGTAGACTCCTTTACACTCAGCTCCTCAGTACATTTAAACTTGAAAATGAGCTGCCCAAGTCCAGTTTAGGCATAAATCACAATTTCACAGCATAAGGTCTACTTGCACTAAAATAACAACAGAAGTCGGCAGGACTTTAGAGATGGAGGGGATCTTAAAGCTCCATTAACGACAAAAGAATGTTTGGATGTTGCTCATCTGCTTGGCTCCCACAAGAGATCTTTAAGATAAAGCTCTTGCCTCTCTGGGAGTTTATAATCTGTTAATTGTGGTTAGAGAGTAATTAGGAAAGAATCAACAGCAGAGCCGAGATGCCTGGTGTGGCTGTCAAAATGCGGGTGCTCGGAGAACATGTGAGGTTGATAGGTTAGAGCCACAGTCCAGGAGTGGGAGGTGGGGACAGAGAGGCCATGGAGGACTGCGGGGAGACCTAGAGCAGATACCTTGTTGTTAGAAGGCTCAGTGAACCCAACTGTGTTCTGGGGTGGCAGCACTGCCCCATGGGGCTGCTGCACGGCCTGTGGAGCACAGCAGATTGCAGGGCCCACCTTACTCTGCTGGGGTCAGAGCCTCCCCACTGTCCAGATTCCTAAGCTCCGTTAGGGTCATGTCAGGGCAGATGCCTGCCAAGAGCTGGGCCTTGCAGGATGATGAAGGCTTAAAGAGGTGACCGTGGGGGAGCCACACCAGGAGAAAGAATGACAGACAAAACCGATAGGTACTTGAACTGGTTGGCTTCGGAGATGTTCATTGTCCACTTGCACATCTGGAGGTTCTTCCACCGGTCGAACAGCTCTGACTGCTTCACCCTTTGGGGGAAGAACAGAACCAAGTGTCATCATTTCTCATAATGCTCCTGCTCTGTACCTGTCCGCCAAATCCAAGGCTCATGCTATGTTTTAGCTCTGTTTTCTTATTCCCTGTCTTCTTGACGCTCTGGTATCTGGAGCCTTGCTGCTTACTGGTGTGCAAGTCTCCTGCCAAAGTACCATTCGTAGAAGCAGTCCAGCCCTACCCTTTGGCCACCTTCTTTTCAGCAAGCCACTGCCCCCTTCCCTAATTATCCCAGAGCCAGGTATCAGACGACTCCATAAGTATCAGATCCTACCCAAATTATTTAACCTAGCCTGTCCTAAACCCGCCTGCCCTGCTAATTCTTCCTGGCCATTTCCCTCCCATGCAAACTACACTAAAGGTCTTGTCTGTGCTTCCCCTCACTCCTGGCTCCTGACCAGCCCTGGTGTTTGTTTCCCTGTGGTCCTGTGTGGTATGGTACAGTGTGCCTCCTGTTTCTGGGATCTGTGAGCATGAAAGCACCTGCTCTGGTAGAACACCACATTGCACTCAGCACAGTAAGGCTCAAGGATGTGCTATACCCTTCTCTTCCTGCCTTCTCAAGGACAGATCATAATTTTCCAGTGACAGACAGGCAACAATGAGAAACTTGAGATGTGCCCTCTTCTCTGCATAGCCAGCCACCTGCCTGGCTCTGTGCCTGGGGAGTTTAAACATCTCAGCATTGTGATATTCCAGGCGCTCTGAGGAAGGGAGCATCTAATCACAGAGGTGTATACCTTTGGCTAACACTGCATAAAGAATTCATTTTTAGTTATCATTTATATTTACAGATTAATTATTCTGCATTCTTACAAGTTTCAATGCTGAACCTATAGTTTCCAGAAATATAGCAAAACAGAGACACTAGATACATACTGTACAAATGAGTGAATGAATGAATGAACCAAATCAAAGATTCAAGTTCCCAGGAACAGGAGTATTTCCCTTTTGAATACTCCCTACTCTTCCAGAAGAGTCTGTGGCCATGTCTTTCTCTTTTCCCTTTCCTCTTCTTAAAATAAATTGTGCTTTTTACAGACAAATTCCCAGGAACACTAGCTGATGACTGTGAAATCTTTATGTGCACTGACCCCCCCGCTTTTCGTGGCTTCTCTTGTCCTTTGCCAGTGGCACCCGGCACCAGAAGCCATACATCATACTCCAAGCCCTCTCTCCCACATATGTGATTCAGTGTCTCTGTTATCTTTCCCTACCCTTGGTTACTCATCCTCATTTCTGTGAAGATGCTGCTTCTGGGATCTCACCCAGGCTATGTCACCATGGATAAGTCACAGAAAGCCTCAGTCTGCTCATCTATATAGTAGAGCTACTATAATTCCTGCCACCTACTAAGAATTATTTGTACTATTATCACTCACTTGACAATTTTATGTATTTCCTTATACAGTTAGTCCTCTGGGGTAGGGAATACAGGGAGATATTAAGTGAGAAGGAAAAATCTGTACAATGACATCTGTTTCCCAAAGTGTATTCTATGGAACTGTAATTCAACAAGAGGTGACAAGGTATTAGTTGAAACACTTTCATTAGTTGAAATTATTCAGTGAATAATTCATTAGATTAGAAGTCCAATGAAACACTGGAAATACAAAACAGTCAGATCACATATTTATTAAAGAAAGGACCATGACTTCTCTCTTATCATCAGGCACAGTCCTCAGCCAAGGGCCAGGCACTGTGTATCTGCTCAGGGTCATCTGGTTGTGAACCTTTTAGGAAATTGATAGGTCAAAGGTGCTGATATAGAGCGAAGCCCTTAAAGGAGGCTGTTCTGGATTGATTATCAGTGGAGGAACCACGAGCCCCTGGGAGCTGTGTGTTCCTCAAAATTATTCTAACTGTGGATCTTACCCTGTGGCTATCAAAGGGTTTAGAGGGATGTATGAACACCTTGCATTATGAGCAAAATCCCAGGTCTATCCACCCTTGTATTATATATTTCAGGGAGAATCTAAAGCCTTCATCCACTTCCCAAAGGGGCCTATGATTCCAAAAAGACAAGTACACACTTGACTGTTGTTTGAAAATTAAAGGTTTATTCTGCAGAGTTGTATTTTGTGTTTAATTGGAGGTGTTAACACTTGTCCCCAAACAGAGCAGGCCTCACCTACAAAGAATACATGGCTGGTGGGGGAGGGGTGATGCAGGAAAAGTCACAGAGGATAGTTACCAAATAGATGGATTTTGGAACCAGAGCTTGGGTCTTAAACCCAGTTCAGATACCTCTGAACTGTGGGACACTAGGCAGGTTATTTAAGTCTCTGAGCCTCAGGTTTCTCACCTTAAAATGGGCATATTAGTAACCTCTTGGCCTCACAGACTTTTATTAATTATTAAATAAGATGATACAATGAAGGATTAGGCCTGGTGCCTGCTGCACGGAAAACATCTAATCAGTACAGACCATTGTTATAGTTAAACTGAACTGCTTGGATTATGCTCAAGCACAACCCCTGTACATTCTCCTTTTGTAAAACCCATAATCTGTCCTTATTCCCACTACACAGTACACCATGGTTTGGGATCATGCCTGATTGCACCTCTGAAATCCCATGCTGAAGCACAGAGCAGATGACTGGAAAATAGTTGTTGAGGTCGTAAAAAACCAGTGAATGACTCAGTAAGTCTGAGTTCAAACAAATCTTTAACTGTATACCGAATACTTCTACATGACTAGAGCTAGAAGTACAGTAGGGAACAAAACAATACCCTGCTTTCATGGGTCTTACATACCAGTGGGTCAGGCAAATGGGAAACAAATATAAATGGTCTTGTCTGGAAGTGGTAAGTGCTACGAAGAAAAATGAAGTAAGATATAGGGATAGGTAAGTGACTGTTTCAAAATAGTTGATCAAGGAAGGCTTTTCTGGGGAGAGAAACCTTGATTCAAGATCTAAAATGACACATGTATAAGACATGAAAATATCTGGAGAAAGTGTAGCAGAGAAAAGAGTGAGCACAAGGGCTTTGGGGAAGTAAAAGATTCAAAAGGAGGCCCCCTCTCATCCCAGTGAAAGGCAAGACTTTCTTCTGGAGTCTCAAACTTCTTTCAGCAGCTTTCCTCATGCTGGAGCTCATAGGACATCAGCAGACAGGTGCCATTACATAACAGCATCCTGGCTTATGCACTACTACTCTTTCCCACCTCCCTGCAACCCACAGGAGCTTAGAGCAGCACCTTATATAGCCAATGCTTCTAACACTTTGGGGTAACACAGATCTGCCAATACTCCAGGCCAGGGTACTGAGTTCAATTGTTGACAGTAATCCACACCCTATATGCCTCCAATATCCTTGTCATATCCTAGATCAATTGCAAGGCCTGTAAACCCATCCTTGAATCCTGGCTGCATCCCCAACTTGGGCAACTTGTTTAATCTTTCTCAGACTCAACTGCTTGTCTATATGACAGATAGCATAGCTTCTCCCCTGCCAATCTCAAAGGTTGTTGAATAGATCAAATGAAATAATATGTGTAAAAATACTTTACAGACTGCTTTGCAAATGCAGCAGAGGTCAGGTGAAAGGCTGACCCTAGGCTCTTCTCTCTTTTCTTCCAAGACACCACTAACACTCCAGAAAAAGAATAAAAAAGATTTAACCCAGCAGATGAAGACAATGACAGGGAGGGACATCTCAGTAAAAGAGAGATCTCAACAGGTATACAAAAAAAGGAGCAGGGGATGATACAAGGACGAGATGACATAGCCCAGAGGAAAATGCTTAATGTGGGTAGAATGTGGAAATGAGCCTAGTCTTGAAAATGTAAATCAGTGTGAACTTGTAAGAACACCCAAGCCCATTCTGCCCCTCACCTTCAGCCCAATATTTTAGGTTCAACATTGGGTAGAAGAGTTGGGGAAGGATGAAATCAGATGATTGTTTCCTCTCAAAAACCTACACCATTCCCAGTGAAAAGACCTGGACATCACAGCAGCAAAAGTGTCAGCAGCATTTTGAACAACTTCAGACACACAGCTCCTACCTGCTTTAACTGCTGTAAATTCACCTGGTCCATCTGAAGGTAACAGACCAAGATAAACCACCAGTTACAAGGACGACAGAGGAAAACACTGAGGGAAAAAAATAGATCTAAAAATTATCTGCTTAGTGTTCCACAGGTAAGCAGGAAAAAATGTATCCTTAAAAAACGAGAATAGATTGCTCTGAGAAGAAAGCAAATGTTCTGGAGGAAAGGGTGATTAAAAGAGCCAGAAGATGAAGTCACAGAATTTTACCAGAATGTGGAGGCAAAGGGTAAAGACTAAAGTTTAGATCAAAAGATATTAGTGCTAGAGAAACAATCCAGAAGTTGCAGTACACAATTTTTATATGTACTAAAAAAATTAGAGAACAATGAAGAGGATGAAATAGTGTATTCAAGAGAAGTTTGGACATGAATGCCACAGGAAAAGATCCCACTTGGCACTGAAGTACACCCACTGGGACATTTCAGACCTGTCCTGATCTAAAGAGATTCCAGAGGAAAATATAAAAATAAACCACATCATCGCCAAAGGAACAACCATTCCCATGCTTCTCAAGTAGCCTTGGCTGCTGTAAGATGGTGGAGGTCTACAACATCCTCAAAGTGATTTTCACCTAAAATACCATCTCCCTAACTAATGATCCAACCAACAAACCAACAGCTTACCAACCCAACAACCAATCTATCAAAGCAACCAATAAACTAGCAACTCACCAAGCTAAGAAGAAACAGACCAACAACCTACCCAACCAACTCTCCAATCAATAATTCAGTAACCCATCAAACCAATAATCAAGAATAAGAGAATAATTAAATGATTTATACTTTGTAGGGCTTTGAAACCTTCCCTCCCATCCATCACTTCTTGGGAACTTTTTTCAAAATGGGTTCAAGAATGAGGAAGGGGTTAACGGGAAAGAAAGCTATGGGTTCTAAGTAAAGGCGAGTCTAACCTAAAAAAGG